CCAGTTCCCCCTCCTTATCCCGACAAAAGGGAGGAAAGGAACGAGAGAGAGAGAGAGAGAGAGAGTTTGAGAGAGAGAGAGAGAGAGGGAGAGAGAGAGAGAGAGAGAGAGAGAAAGAGAGAGAGAGAGAGAGAGAGAGAGAGAGAGAGAGAGAGAGAGAGAGAGAGAGAGAGAGAGAGAAAGAGAGAGAGACCATAGATCTAAATAGCTACAAGCTAGAACTAACAGTTTACCATTCATGTCATTTGTTATAAAAAGAGGAAAAACCACTCTGATTGCCAGTTCCCCCTCCTTGTCCCCACTGAGGGAGGAAAGGAACGATCCTCAACGAGACACGGCCTGACTACGAGAGCAGTAGTCATGCCAGCCTCAACTTCACGCTCAGAGGAACTGACGCAATCTCGTCATCGTGGTTTACGTGCCGATCGATTTTACTCGACGTCTCGGCAAGACATACTTTAGAAATGATCCCTAAAAGTATGATCTTAACCTGTAATGAATTCCCCAAAATCTCTTACATTTCAGATGGTGGTTTTTCGTATGGTTTTCACATTCTCCCTTTGTGGAAAGTTGGTATCATTGTTAATGTCTGTATGCTAATAGGGAACGAATTTTACAAACAGAGCTAGGGCAACATGTTGAATGTCTCGTTGTGTGAACACAAATATCAGCTTGACACGTGTGTGGGGTCATAGTCCTTTCGAAAACTGTGAGTCAAGAGTGAAGAAAAGGGAGGTTATTACTTTTTCTTTTCTAAGTTTATCTTTCTTTATTTTTTTTTGTCGTTCGTTTTTGTTTGTTTTGTTGTTGTTGTTTTTAAAAAGGTGGACTAATGAGGAGAGATGTCCTGTTTGCTTCTTCGTGTCGCATCAGTATCAGGAGTTAAAAATATTTTTTGTGTGAACTCATAGCCAGGCTCACTGCTTGACTATTTTTCTCGCAGAAATTTCAAAATTCAAATAGAAATATACATAATAAGATAACAGTATTGCATTCTTTTCATGTGTGGACATTTTCTAGATAAATGAATTAAATGCTCAGATTTTCCAGCCGCAGCAAAAAACTGAAGATAGACAGAAAGAAAAGAAGGAGGAAGATTATCGTGAGTAGACAGATTTTAGCCGATATGCACGTGAAAAACTATTGCCGACCGAACTGCACAGATAGACAATGGTCGAGAGTACGAAATGCGCAATCTGGCAGTTTCTAATACAACTTATTGTCGAGAGTTGCCGTAAATGTCTGATAAGTTACGGAGGCAAATGCTGATCTCTCTGTCTCTGACTCTCTCTCTCTCTTTTAACGCATGGAGTTGAAATGATGATGCGGCAAGTACGTCACTTTCGGAATGTACCGATTTCCCGTAAAAACAAAGTGAATGGAAGCACTGCAGAATGTTTTTTTTTTCTTTTTATTCTCTCGGCACCCATCGCAAATCCGGTAGTTTTGACACCTTATCGGTATGGCGGTAGAACAGGCCCAAAATCGGAATCTACAGGAAAAATCGGTAGATTTAGGCAGCTCTGCACTTTCCCCTGTTCTGCCCCTTAGTTACAAATCTTATCTTTGGCATTCATAATGGCCAAATTGTGTTGCATTTTGAGTACGGGGCCTTTCTACACAATTCGTTTCGGGTGAAAGTTATCGGAACCACTTGCATGACAAGCGCCAAAGCAACATAATATGCCTCCACTAATTTGGTAGCAGGCATAATGCATTATTGGAGGTATACAATTAAGGTCATTGTGTTTGAGGATGAAGGAGAGAGAGGGAGAGAGAGAGAAAGAGAAAGAGAAAGAGAGAGAGAGAGAGAGAGAGAGAGAGAAAGCGAGAGAGAGAGAGAGAGAGAGAGAGAGAGAGAGAGAGAGAGAGAGAGAGAGACAGAGGGAGAGACAGAGAGAGAGACCATAGATCTAAATAGCTTCAAGCTAAATCTAACAGTTTACCACCATTCATGTCATTTGTTATGAATAGAAAGAGAAACCACTCTGATTGCCAGTTCCCCCTCCTTATCCCCACTGAGGCAGGAAAGGAACGAGAGAGAGAGAGAGAGAGAGAGAGAGAGAGAGAGAGAGAGAGAGATAGAGATATTGAGAGAGAGAGAGAGAGGGACATGAATTTGAGAGAGCGTTTGTGAGAGAGAGAGTTAGAGAGAGAGAGAGATAGTGAGTCAGATAGAGAGAGAGAGAGAGAGAGAGAGTCACAGAAATTCAGGGTGTGGGTCTTGCTT